AATAAATCATTTAACATTATTTAAATTTTAAGTTCTTAATTTTATAAGGAAATATTTTTAAAAAATCGTCAATCTCCCCTAATATGACAATTATGACATTTGTTCTCAAGATCTTCCCTCTTATCTAATTTATTTACCACCTGTCTGAGAAGTACAGAATTTAATGTAAAGTACTCATTATAAAGTATATGGAAAGACTGAAAGCTATAAAAAATCAACTTTTCCTTAATTAATTTTTATACCTTTCATCTTGTGTGTTACATCATCCAATAGGGTTACCTGAGTTACGTGTTTGCCTAGTGATTAGTTACTAGGGATTATTAGTTAGATATGGTTTAAAGAGTAATAAAACAATAAAATTAAGTATAAACAGATGTAGAACTTTGAGGTAGCTACGATAAAAAATTCCTCCTCTGAGAAGTACGGAATTTAATGTAAATTACCCATTATGATGTAAATCTTACTAAGGCAAATCATAATTGTTTACAGAGTCATAAACTAGAAAATAAGACCCACTTGCCATGTCCACTTGTCGCATCCTCTTTTTTACAAATCATCAGTATTCCTCTCTGACCTTTTATATTATTTATAACCAACAGAAAGCCAAGGTTTTAACCTAGGAAATGAAATGTTATATTATGTTGTTTTCAGTACAGAGAATTGTCTCTTTCATCTTCAGTTTGAAAGTTTCTTTCTCTCACAGTGTTCAGATCAAGAAGCTTAGGAAATTATTTAGTTTTTTACATCCTAGTTAATAATCTAGTTAAATTATGATTTGCTTTGATGGTGTTATTATTCTATGTTCTTAGGCATATTATTTAATTAAATAACAATTTCTCAGTGTACTAGTACCATTAGGATAAGAAAAATAAGCTTACTTTCATTGGCAACCAACAGCAAAAAAACAAGAGGTCAAAGGTAAGTATTATATTTCTTGCTTTTAATACATATTTTTTATTTATTATTATAAAAGTAACTAAAATGTAAAAATCAGAGACTTATTAGGTTAGATAATAAAAAATAATAACATTTTCATGATGTATGCTTGCAAGCAGCTTGTGTTATGTCATTTAATACAGCAATGTGAACTACACATTTGTCAAGTGATTCACTACTTATGTGGCAGGGTTATTAGTTATACATGGGTCAAAGGCAATAAAACAATAAAATTATTAAGTATAAACAGATGTAGACTGTTACAAGCTTTAAGTTATTTAGAATAAACAATTGTATTTTCCTTTTATAAAAATAGGGTAGGGAAAATAACAGATAAAATATAAAGTTTTATTCAAAATAAAATGTTTGATATTTATTTAGGAAGATTTTAGAGGTTATGCAAATGAAATTGAAAGATTTTCAGATGAAGTACAAAAATCTTTAATCTTAACATGAAAATCACTTGGCACCTGGAACAGGAACATTCTGACTCCATATATAGGTGAGAAAATCATTACTAAAAATATATAATTAACAAATCTGATTTTTGGTGTAGAAAAGATTTTTAATATTTACTAAGAGCTTTCCAAATTTTGTGAAAATACATAAAATGAATTAAAAGCTATAGCATGGAAGCTATGATGGTAACTTTGTGGTCACAAGGTCAGTCACATCAGATCACCTTGTATGGAAAGTTAAATTACACAGGTTTAAAATCATACCATATGGTGAAGCTTAGAGCTGGCAAACTTCATATGATAAGAGAGGATAACCAATTTAGATTTAAATATACAAGTGAAAATTGTAAATTTTTGTATTCTCTAATTCTTTCACTTATGAGAGCTCAGAAACAGAATTCACTAATTACAAAATTATAAAAATAATTTAATAATCTTTCAAATTTCAAAGTACACTGAAGTTAATACAAAGCATGATACATCATGCATATATATACACACATCAAAAGTACATTTATGAAAAAATATATTAAAAATAAAAAGGGTGTTATGAGAAATGTCTAAACAAAGTAAATATAAAACAATTTAGCTAGATATTATAAAATTAAGGTATTCTTACAAAATATACAAAGACTATAAAAAGTGACTGTGTATTAAGAAGTATAAAGAAATTATACTAATGTGTGCTCCTCTCAACTAAGTAGCTCATATTCACTAGACAAAAAAAGCAAACTTAACGTCAACAAGTTTCGAATGTCAATTGTTTCTATGATAGGTCTTTTTTTTTACACTAATTACTTGTACTTAAGATTTTAATTATAAATCTTCAACAATGTCTAAAATGAAGAATTTTTAACATTGGTAAAGACTCTCAAACTCCACTAGAAGAAAAGGGGGGAGAAAGCAACATTAATACTAATGGTTTTTTTTAATTTCTTCAACAAAGCAGCTGCTAGATGCACATTTGTCTTTAAGTGAAGTAACCATAGAATAGTTAACTTCTAATGTGAAAGCTTGTGTGTTCTTTCAGGCCTGCTCTTGTAATCAGGGGCCCCAGTTCCATTCTTTTGAAATGAATTTAAAAATGGCATTGTCCTGATAGACTTAACACATATATAACAAAAAATTAATCTATGTGTGAATGCTACTTGATGTTGGCCATCATTGTAATAACCACAGCATTATAACATCTAAAAGGCACATGCCCCAGAATTTGCAAACATAATAACTATTGTCAATTTTGACATTCTTACATCAGAATTCACTTAACCCCATCAGCTCAGGTACCCTTTACTGTGCATGACACAAGGTTTTAGTGTCTTACATTCAAAATTTTATTAAATTACTTTTTGTTTATGTTATACCAATTAGAATAACATAAAATCTGAGCTAATAATCCATATTTTAATAGTATATAAGTTTAAGTTCTTAATTCTAAAAGGAAATATATAAAAAAATCCAGAGTTTCCACTAGTAGGACCCAAC